ATATAAGACGCTCACAACGTGACAACAATGTGTGCAGGTAGTGAGTAATTGAACTGCAGTCAGGAAGTATTGTTGAAGTTAACGTTCGTTGTTAAAACGTTTGTAAAAGAGCGACTGTTGAAAATAAGTGTATCGGTAAAGTTATATTCAGAAGGAATAAACCAGTTTTATTAAGTAAGGACTTGTGTCGCTAAAATTTCGTCGGAACGAAGTTACGGAAAGTTAATTAACAAACGGGGACGTAACACTTCTATGATAATAAGTGTTTAGGTGTTTGTATGTGTTTTTTGTTTATCGATTCTTGTGGCTGTGTGTTAGAAGTTTGTTTGTCTGATAGTTTTCTTTGTCTTTTATATGTGACCAGTGTAAAACCATCAGTGTCCATGTGTCTCTGTTGTTTCAAGTATCAATATCCAGGGTGGTACTGTTATCTATGTCATTATTAGGTGATTTAAGTTGTTCATTTATTATTTGTTTCAGTTTGGCTGTCTGTATTATCACTAGCCATCTCGATAGCAGTGCTTTTAGTTTTATCTTCTTCGCTATGTTTGTTTGTTACTGTTAGTGCCAGTGAATTATTTGTTTCCGTAGGCATTTTAATTATTTTTCTTTTCATTTTAATGTTTGTTAACTCCTTTTTGGCTACAAGGATTAAAGAATTTAATTCAGGACTTAATCTTAGCTTGGTATTTAGGCCACCTATACTAGACTTACATGAATATTTCTATGAGGAAGAGACCATTTCCACTGACGCTGAAGTGATGTTACATTGGATTATGATTGAGTTCTAGTTTTCTTGTACTTCGCTGTATGTTTTTCTTTTGTTGGAATTGTCTTTGACAAAAATTATTGAAGATATTTCAAAGTTGTTGCTTTTTGTAGTAGGCAGGTCAAGAGTGTGCCACTACTGCTCATAAGAAGATGTTTCTAAAGCCAATAAGTTTGTACTCTATGTAACGGTTTTCACAAAGTAATGCTGAGGTATGTCTTTTTTCTCTTACGTCTCTCACCGGAATCACTCTCATATGTGAAGTACGAAGGTACGCGCTTGTGAATATGCCGCCATTCAGATCAACTCACGTGGCTTTTCTAAACGCCAATGAAAGTCGTCTGTTCACGTGTATTCAGTGTGATAGATATAGAGAATACAACCACTTATTCAAGTGTGGACGTGCGTAGAGAGAGGTAACCCGAAGACCTTATATTGAATTCGAAGGTTGATAAAACAAGGATATAAATTATAAAAGAGAGTTAGAAACACTTTAAGTACTCTCTAGGAATGTTTAGTTAGCTTATGAGAATAATTGTATGGTTACGTTTTACCGTTCTTTAAAACTAAAACTGTTATTAAATAAAACTATTAAAGATATAATTTTAAAACCAGTGGACTAAGTTATGCCAAGAAACGATACTATAATTCATCTTGTTGCCGGCGGGTGAGTAGGTATTAAATTTAACATTTAAATTTGTAAAGTAAGTATTTGAAGAACTTAAACTGGAAACAATCAAGATGAAATGATACATTCACCACTTGACGATTAAGTCTTAAATTACTATTAATTATTTTAATATTAATCGTTAAAAGCTACTTTTAGTTTAACTTTTACTAGTTTTAGTACTTTGAACTTATTTAAGTTTAACCTGGGATTATTAATTATTAATTTACGTTTTATTTGTATGGATAGATAATCATGCCTGTTGGCTTGTAATATGTAATTATTAACCTGTAACAGTATAATATATTAACTATAATTTAAATACACCCTGAAATTCTATTCGCTTTTCTATTACTAATATTAGTTCTAGCAACAGAGCACTATTTTAATGGTTTAAGTGACTTACCAATGAAGAAAAGGCTACTAGCAAAATCTGTCCAACTTATAAGTTGAACTTCATTGTTTTGTAATACATCCTCAGTTGAGCTAGAACAGTAGAAGCAGAAATATGCAAAAGTTTAATGTCATCAGCAAACTTTAGTCCTTACTAATTATGGCCTGTTGATATGAGTAAATGTAGAAAATAAAAGGCCAGGAACTAAATTCTGACAATTAACTAAGCATTTCCCAACCCCTACCATGGAACACAAGCTTAAGTTAAGCCTTAAGGTTTAGAAATGACATGCTAGACTCTAGTTAATACAGTTTATTTTTAAATAGAATGTTTGGCTCGTGTAATGAATTTCTGTCTGCAGTAGTGAAGACTAGTACATTACAAGAGTTTAAAAAGAGGAATCAGTGATTTCTTTAAAAATGAAGGGTGGGTTTACGTTTTTATTCAAGGGTGATTGTGCATGGGCAGCCTAAAAAGACCAATGGTCTCTTGTTGTCCATCTGCTATATTGTAATAAAATTTTAATTTCTCAATCTTGTAAAGCTTAAGTCAGACTGTTATTTTCCCCTGTAGAAGTAAGAGAAACTTGCTTATAATTTCCAAGATAACTCTTAATTCTTTCACCCCTATAAAAAACATTAGCAACTCCCCCACACCTCAGATACCTGTTATCTATTGACCTTTCAAAAAAAAAAAGTGAAAGACCTATTTATCTAATCTTTGACTTTAAATCTTGGTGAAAACATTGTTTGGTCTGTGTTTTATCTATGTATACTTACTACTAAGGTTAAGAAATTAATATGTACATTATTATTCCCCATAGAATGTTCAGGGTTAAAAATATTGTTAATATCTTTTGTAAAAGCAGAAGAGAAAAAAATAACTTTGAATCAGCATACTTTAAGGGCCCAATCCCCATTTTAGCATTTTGCTTGAATTTTCTAATCAGAGTTATGCTGCTAATGGTATTTATTAATCAATTCAATAGTCAGGTTTATTAATAAGTTACATTGAACTAATCAGTTATCCTTCTATGAGACTAACCTTCATATTTTCAGTTTATTTTGGTGTTTTTGAAAGAAATTTTGAAGTACCTTTTATTTAATATGGGAGACAATTTCAAGTACATCAATTTAGTAACTTTTTTAATCCTAAACTGTCATACACAAAAATGTATCATACATGCAATGTAGTACAACTCTTGTTGCAGGTAGCAGTATGATTAATACAGTTTCTTGAGTTTCTTCCTATAAATATTAACAGGTACTCTACTAAAACTAATCTACGTTTTTATTAAACTTATTTGTCCTTAGATCTGGTACGATAATACTAGTACGTTATAGTCACAGTGTGTGATAGATAGTGTAAGATTTGGTGGAAACTAATTCACTGCAATCATAGAAAAATAACCTTTACTTTCAATGACGAGGAACCCGCTTTGAGACTAATAATGGTTGGAGATGGATTGAATGGGTAATGAAGAAAAACTTTAATATAACTACATTTGCTGTTATGTTAAAACTTATATTAAAGTTTTTCTTCATTACCCATTCAAGCCATCTCCAACCATTATTAATAACCTTTACTGTTTGGCAAGATGAACTCTGTGCTAAGGTTAAAATGATTTCCAAAGTCAGTTTTGTAAGAAATATTAAAAATACTGTAATTAAAAGAATAAAGAGGAATTAGATGTTTTTGAAATTTTTTTAATCCATCATCAGCATGAAAATCTTAAAAATAATTAACAGATTTATAAGAAACACCATTTTGCTCTTAAAAATTTGTTACTTACAGAATTTTAGTAGGAACACGTTAAAATTAATGCATTTACATTTTGCAGTACATTTTCGAAGAAACTGTAGAAACATACATGTGCCGAAAAATATATAAAACAAACTTAAACCTTGCTGTATTAGGCAGTGTTTAAAGAGCATGTGACAACAGCCACACTAGGCAGTGTTTAAATAGCATGTAACAACAGCCACACTAGGCAGTGTTTAAATAGCATGTGACAACAGCCACACTAGGCAGTGTTTAAATAGCGTGTAACAACAGCCACACTTGGCAGTGTTTAAGTAGCATGTAACAACAGCCACACTAGGCAGTGTTTAAGTAGCGTGTAACAACAGCCACACTTTAGTGTTTCCTATACAGCTAGAGCTAATCCTAATTAAACGATAGTTCTGTTTATGTAAACAGGATAATTACGTAACAGTCTTAACAATATGTAACATGGTTATTAGTTCATACATAGTAATTTCTGACAATTAAGTTGGGAGCTGTTTGTGAGTGAATAAAGAATAGTGGATGTTAATGTGCTATACTTTTTTTAAAAATTAAAGCAAACTTACTGCAGGTAATATTGTAGTTTGTAATAATTAAACAATATATTAAGTTGGAACTATAGTTTTATTTAATCCAAACAAAGCACTAGTGAACAGGCATCATTGTGACAAGTTTTGCAACCAACTGCCACCAGGCCTCACCTTCACATAAGTTGTGTGCCACGAGAAATACATGTCCACCATGTATAATCTCAACAAATACTATCATGTCATGAGAGTTAAGTTGGTAGCTATCTGAAGCTAAACAATTCTGAGTAATAATAATTCATGATTGTGTGGCAGCTAAGCATCGGTAGAATTATCGATGTACTCTGTCTGTGATGATGAATTCTGAGTTGTGGTTAAGCTACTATGGACTGGTAGTTAGAATTATTGTCTTATGACTTGCGTGTCACACATTAATACTTGTTGCCCCCTCTCCCCCCCAAAAAAAGAAGTTTTCCCTTTCAGCCATGGGGAGCAGTTCAAAATTAAGAATGCTTGCAGATGGTATTAGTAGCTTTGTCACAATTCGAGAATTAAACAAACAAATATAATGGGCCCCATGGCTGAAAGAGTGGTGGTTGGTGACAACTGGAATCAAACCCCTGACTCTTGAATGACCAGGCAACTATCCTAACCATCTGTTCATGCTATCTCAAAGCTCAATGATAATGTTTCAAGTACTTGAATAGTTGGAATAATCGTTAATTTAATAATAAGAAACCATACATTCAATTATCTAATCATTTCTGTGACATTAATAGATTTAATTTTGATTAATGGATAATTTTACATAACACTAATTGATGTTATCAATACTAGTAGGTAATTGAATTAATCACCAAGCTCTGTTCATAATTCATCTTTAACGAGTTTCGTAGTTCTCAACGTCTTCCATCCAGTCTGTAAATGTAAGCTTCTCAGTCTTACAGAATTTATCCTTCATTTACTCCTTTAGGTTTTGTCATCCCTGTTATGCTTTTCTTATTTACGCCTATCTTGAAATAAAATTTATTTTTAAAACTTCTTTTAATTCATTATCTTAACTCACTAATGAACAATCTGCCTTTTCTCCCATGAAATTTATTTTTTCAGTGTGCTTCTGTGGTCAATTCTCCATATTGTGTTGCCTTCACACGACAACCGACTGATACTGTTAGTTTCACCACAGAATTATTATTACTATGTGGTAAACTTTAATGTTGCTTGTTTATGACCAAGAAATTTATAAAGAAGGAACGTCTTGTGTGGAAAAATAATTCACTTTCAATTCCTGTGGTCTGTCATGATAAGCTTATGCAAATACTGCTAGAGTTGAAAAAACCACAGTAAATGGAACAAACTATCAGAAATCTGATATCAGAGAAACTAATGGACTTCTGACAGTTCGTTCTGTTTACTTGGGTTTTATCAGAAGTCTGATATCAAGGAAACTAACAAACTTCTGACAATTTGTTCTGTTTACTGTGGTTTTTCGGAAGTCTGATATCAAGGAAACTAATGGACTTCTGACAATTTGTTCTGTTTACTGTGGTTTTATCAGAAGTCTGATATCAAGGAAACTAACGGACTTCTGACAATTTGTTCTGTTTACTGTGGTTTTATCAGAAGTCTGATATCAAGGAAACTAACGGACTTCTGACAGTTTGTTCTGTTTACTGTGGTTTTTCAGAAGTCAGATATCAGAGAAACTAATGGGCTTCTGACAGTTTGTTCTGTTTACTGTGGTTTTTCAGAAGTCTGATATCAGAGAAACTAATGGGCTTCTGACAGTTTGTTCTGTGTACTGTGGTTTTTCAGAAGTCTGATATCAGAGAAACTAATGGGCTTCTGACAGTTTGTTCTGTTTACTGTGGTTTTCAGAAGTCTGATATCAGAGAAACTAATGGGCTTCTGACAGTTTGTTCTGTTTACTCTGGTTTTTCAGAAGTCTGATATCAGAGAAACTAATGGACTTCTGACAGTTTGTTCTGTTTACTCTGGTTTTTCAGAAGTCTGATATCAGAGAAACTAATGGACTTCTGACAGTTTGTTCTGTTTACTCTGGTTTTTCAGAAGTCTGATATCAGAGAAACTAATGGGCTTCTGACAGTTTGTTCTGTTTACTGTGGTTTTTCAGAAGTCTGATATCAGAGAAACTAAAGGACTTCTGACAATTTGTTCTGTTTACTGTGGTTTTTTCCACTAACTGTGTTCTTTTTTTATTATTGCTAGAGGTGAGATCAACTTAAGCAGGTACATTAATGGGATATATAGGGAAGGTCCAAACCTATTCATTAAATAAGCGTTTATAATTCTAAGATTATGAAAAAAAAGTTTATACCTTTACAAAATCATTTATTAAAATATGATAAATATAAGGTGGATCCTCTAAAAGGACATCTTGCATCACTAATCTTTTTAAATGGATATTATTCATGTGGGTAAAATATGATAAATATATGGTGGATCCCCTAAAGGGACATCTTGCATCACTAATCTTTTTAAATGGATATTATTAATGTGGGTAAAATATGATAAATATAAGGTGGATCCTCTAAAGGGACATCTTGTATCACTAATCTTTTTAAATGGATATTATTCATGTGGGTGTACTTAGATTTCCTAAAGGTTTTTTGATTATGTACATTTATAAAAGATGGGTAAGAAAGTCATTTAGTTGGAAAAACAGTAGTTATATTGTAGGGTTGGATGGAAGAAAGTCAAAGGTTGCTATTAATGAAGTCAAGCTAGACCCTTGTCACGAGGGGAGTACCTTGGGGGCTAGTACGTCAGCCTTTGCTTTATCATATTTACGTTAATGATAGGGGATTTAATCATGAAGGTAGTAAAGTATGTTGATGGTATTAAACTCTGGTATTTCTTGCTACATTAGAGACATTAAGATATTAGAAAATAGTTTGAGTTAATTGGTAAAAATGAAAACAACTTACATCACAAAAATAGTACTTAATTACCATGTTTTACTGCCATGAAAACAACTTACATCACAAAAATAGTACTTAATTACCATGTTTTACTGCCATGAAAACAACTTTCATCACAAAAATAGTACTTAATTACCATGTTTTACTGCCA